GCTGATAAAAGGTTAGTAGGAGCACACGACGATACAGAGGTGTTTTTAGCACACCAGAAACAAGTTAAAGGTAATTTTTGACTCCCTCGCCTCTTGCCAGGTTTGAAGAGCTGATCAGATACTCATACGCACCCACCACTCAATCTTTAAAATCTATTTAGAAATACAATAGTAGAAAACACAGAAATATGCTTGGACAAGGGCACTCCAGAAATCTGCTCCTCCCTAACATGCTCCCTCTCCTTATTCACAGATCTCAAATAAGCCTCAGTATTACTACCTGCCCTGTGCAGATGGGGAAACTGAGGCATGCAGAACCATGCTCACTAAGCAGGTTGATTTCAGAACCAAAAGCACTTACACCATCAGAGTGATGCACGTGCCACCAGATCTGCTCTCTACCATCTCAATGTTTTGCTATCCATGTTTGCATTTCTTCTCTGGTAAAATAACCCAGTGTGAAGCACCACTGCAGCAGAACTGAGCAAGCCCATTTAAAGAGATCCTGGAAGACCTCAGCTGTAGAGTACATCAGTGCTGAGGTTAGGTGCAAGGCAGCCCTTACAGTTACCCAAATCCTTCTGCAAATCTCTCTCCACAGTCACAGACTGTCCCTGCATGGATCTGCCATTGCCTTATCCCACTGCGACCTGCCTGAAGCAAGCAGCTTCTGAGATTTCCCTATTTCCACCAAGCAGGGACATAAATGGTACAAGGCGACACAGAACGTTGTGTAAACCAGCAGGCAAAGCCTGTGCTGAGCCCAGGCTGCTGCAGCTTGGGCAGGAGCAGGGCTGGTGGGCACACACACCTTCCCCAGCTGCTGCTTCACAAACTGCCACAACCTGAGGCTGGTGGGACGTGCAGTGGCCTTTCCACGTGGCCACAGGGTTTTAGGTTTTCTGTCAGATGGCACCAGGATGGGGCTGTTCCATAGCTCTGCTTCTACAAGGGATACAGAGTAATACACAAGTCCTCAGTTATAATGCCAAGATGCTCTTTTATTGCCCAAAAGCTCCCCAGAGTGGTTAGAGGCCTATCAATTGCATTGGCACTGGCAACAACCTAGTGGTCTTGCAGAAATGTTCTTATCTACAGAAACTATCTGTGGCTGCTGGGTCACAGCAGGTAAAGTGGAAAAAGAAAAATCACAGGTTGTGTGCACAGTGATATTCTGCTGGCAAGTTCTGAGCAGCACAGTTGGCCTGGGTCTGTGCAGAGGAGTTAAAAAGTAGTTTATTATAAAAATAGAGCTTTAACAATAGCAAAACAACATGACAAGGCCTGTGGCTCTGAATTATCTAACACATTTACGAATGGCATTCTTCAGGAAATACTTCAGTTAGAGAACTTCAAGAAAACTGCTTTTCAAAGCCTGAAATAACTAATGTACATGCAGTAACAACATAGGAGAAAGGGGGGAATTATATTCTAGTATGCACTTAAGTTTGCAAGATTGTCATTCCAGTGTATGACAGCTCATTCTGCACACTACAGTTCTCTCTTAGCAAAAGCACAGTTGCAGCAGCATATTTTATCTTTACACCCAAAATTAATACAAAATATTATTCTCAAGTAAGTCTCAAAAACTGAAGAGTGGATTTTGGAGTGTGACCAAACTGAGCCTAGTTCTGCACCAGCAGAATGCTATCTCCACATGGTACCGTTAGAATAAAGATTTCAGTATAAATTCTTGCATGTTGGATGTATTCTGGTCTGTTCATCATTTTTTGCTGACACAGTATCTCAGATTCCTTAAAAAAAAACATTTGAATTTGCTTAATATCTTTGAAGACAAAATTTATGCTTTTATCTCAGTTCTCTTGCCTTTCTGCAAGTGGTTTTATCTCAAAATGGCTATTCAGTATTGAAAAGCACCTAGAATACTGTAATTTCAAGTTCCAATCACATAGCTTTTTCAAGCTAGTTGCATCTCTCCAGTATATGCTTGCTATTCACATTGTTTATATCCATTCAGTAAATGAGATACAAGACTTACTCATTCCTGGCACTGGTGTTTCAGTACCACAACCACACAATCTGCTGAGATGATGGTACCTGTAGCTCAGCATGTCCTTCTTATGAAGCTCCTAAAGAAAGGCAGTGTGTGTATCTGCAGCAGACAGTCCAATGTCAGTTTTCAAGAGCTGATTTCCTTGGCTCAAAATTTGCCCTTGGGAGAAGCTTTAATTCTCTGAGTTCTTGTGGCTGTAAACTCTGGTCCACACCAGGAGTTAGCTTGTAATTTAAAGGAGATTCAATATAACCATTTCTGTACAGACAGACCCGCTTGCAGAATTCAAAGGTGCTAAACATCACACCAAAGTATGGGACAATCTGATTGGGAAAAAAAAAAAAAGCAACATATGATTAAAAAGCACTATTAGATTCACTAGTAGCATTCTTAGCTCAGGTGCTTTTAAAAAAAGGAAACTTCTAGGACTCAAATCTGATCTGATCTGCTAATAGAGATATGCTCATTTATAAAAAATCAGAGCCTCACCTCAAAGCAGGCAGACAACTGCAGCATGCTAAAAGTAGGAATTTATTATTGGTACCTAATTAATTATAACAGTATTATTAAGAACATGGTCTATGCTAGCCTCTAAAGCTGGTTTACAACCTGCCTGAGGTTGCACCCATTTTGTCATAGACTCTGACATGTATAAGCTGCTAGTCAGTATGGAGGCATGTCATAAAAGCATTATAACCCCAACTCTGCAATAGTGTGTCTTGATCACTTCCAGACAGTCTTTGCTTGGGTTGAAAGCAAGATCTCACCTTGAGCAGACTGGGTGTGAGCCCACTCCAAAGTCCAAGCACACCCTTGTTCTTCACAGTTTGCCGGAAACAGTCAACCATGCCAGTGAAATGGACATCAACTGCTCCATAGTGGGGAAGCCAAGGACTCTGGGCCTGTTCAGGAGACACCCATAGGGATTTAGAACAAGCAGAGGAAAACAAAAGAACTAAAGAAAATTATTTTCTCCACTCTGGTCCATAAGAAAGGTTTCAACATACTGATTTGGATTCCTCCATAAACCCAACAGATTCAGCTATTTTGCCTTGAAATACAAACTAAAATGGGAGGGAATTCTGATACGTATGAAAGAGAAAGAGACCAGCAATTTCACACTGCACTTCCTTTTGTGCCATGTCACTTCTATAAGTAAATCCCACCCTTGAAGACAAACCATCTGATCCAGAGCCACATTACACATCAGCCCCACCTCTGCCAGCTGCTCAGCCTGGGAAGAGACAGTTCACAGCACCAGCAGTGAAGCACCTGTGAGAGGGAAGCCTGGGGCTGGTCCAGATGCCACACTGCCTTCCTGGAGTTCTGATCAAAACCCAAGAGCAGGCTGACCTGACACTGGCTGCTGAGGCTGTGTCCATGCTGCAATGAGAAGGGCAAACTGCACTACAGGTTGAGCAGCACAGCAGAAACAGAAGAACAGACTTCAGCCCAGGCTGTACCAGCCCACCAGGGGCTGTAGGGGAGCAGTTGGTGCCTGTGTTCCTGTATCTTTGCTACATGGTCAGTTGATCTAGTTTGGTTAAAGTTAGCTTGGAGCATCCTGCTGGATTGCAGCTACATTTCCAACTGCAGTACAGTGTCTGTTCACATGGAATAAGTGTACTGGGTCATTTATAACAGCAAAATCCTGTCCTCATTAATCTCCTACTGTGTTAGGGCAGACCTGACCTTCCATAATCTCAGCCTCACCCATCTGTGCACATGCAGCCATGGTTTTCATCTGAGTGAATCAGGTTTTCACTGAAACATGAGGCAAGTGACACTTCTCAGCCAGGTGTGTCTGGGGACCCCTCAACACAGGGTGAAGCACATGCAAGCTGATCACACAGGGTAGAAATTTGGTAAAAGTAGGACTTGTGCAGTTAATTTCATTATCCCTTCATTGATCTGAAACAACATGTGGTGTGGCATTTTTCCCCTCCTTGGCCAAACTAACCTATAGCTTCTCAGAGCTGCTAAGCCTATGACAAGGCTCTCATAAACTGACAAGTGGTGATGACATTTTCTAGATGCCTCAGCTATAGCATTTCAAATACTTGGCAACTTAGATGCTAGAAATGGAAATAGATCAAAACTCATGCTCCAGGTACATATTTGCTAATCAAAAAGTTTTAATGCTGTTGCATCCTCTTTTTTTTAATTAATTAAAAAAAAAAAAGCTGTGCATTTTGGGTGGTTCTGCATCATCTAGACGTGTACAAGAGTGCAATCATTGCAACCACCTAGAACCAGAAAATGGAAGTTGCCAAACAGATCAAACTAGTTTCTCTACCTTTTTTTTTTTTTTTTTTCAAAAACCTATCCCCTCCTTGGCCAAACTAACCTATAGCTTCTCAGAGCTGCTAAGCCTATGACAAGGCTCTCATAAACTGACAAGTGGTGATGACATTTTCTAGATGCCTCAGCTATAGCATTTCAAATACTTGGCAACTTAGATGCTAGAAATGGAAATAGATCAAAACTCATGCTCCAGGTACATATTTGCTAATCAAAAAGTTTTAATGCTGTTGCATCCTCTTTTTTTTAATTAATTAAAAAAAAAAAAGCTGTGCATTTTGGGTGGTTCTGCATCATCTAGACGTGTACAAGAGTGCAATCATTGCAACCACCTAGAACCAGAAAATGGAAGTTGCCAAACAGATCAAACTAGTTTCTCTACCTTTTTTTTTTTTTTTTTTCCAAAAGCCTACAATGACATACAGATCAAACAGCTAATTTCATACCAAAAGGGACTGGGTTTATGACAGAGGGCTTTCACACCATGCACCTCAAAGCAGCTTGACTCCCTTTCTTTTGACACCCCTCAACACCAGGGACATTTCACAGAAAATGGAAACCTGTTTATTATGATCATTTTAAAAGACTCCCTTTTCCCCCAGATCCAGCTGCCTCATACTGCAGGAGGCTGGAGACACAGCACAGCTCACCGTGCTGCTGAGCGCCAAGTTGTTAGTCACAGTGGTAGCAGGGCTGAGTTGCTAATCTTTTTATGTCTGGTGGACGATGGGTCCTCTAAATGATTAAAGCACACCAACAGTAGAACTGTGTTTGTCTGCTCTCTCACAAACACAGTATTTTAGTATCCAGTGACCACCAAGTCTACTAAGTGACTGTGACACATCCCCAGGGTCAGCCGTCTGTTCTGCCTCAACAACCTAAACCCGCAAGAGAGAGATGTATAAAAATACCTCAGCTATCTGCAGTCACTTTTTTTTATATAAACAAAATATTTAAGTAAGGGTGAATCATCATGACAAAACTAAAATTAATTGTTAAAGTTAATTGTTACCTGAAGACATCTCTCCTATTGTCTGCATGATGAGGGGACTGCCAGAACAACAGTCACATTTTGGGAACTAATCCCACAGGCCTTTATAAGAGATTTCTCCTTCCACCACCTCTCCCTGCCCCCTCCTCCTCCTCATTTCCTCTTATAATTGACAGACACATGTAATTCACCACAGTGCAGTGGGATCTGTGCCCATCAAAAGATCCATCACTTGAATCTTTCAAGGCTCACAGTACCCACATGGGGACCAAGCAGAGACCACCAGGTCAGGAGGTGGCAGACACTGTAATTAAGCCACCTAAGACTGTGCCCAGAGTTCAGCAGATACAACATTCCCACTGGCACTTTAGCACACTGTGGTTTGCAACTATCTGAATTTACACATATCAGAGACTCTTTAGAAATACTTCCCCCTCAGTTCATGTACTTTTTTCCCCTTTCTTCCCTGTTTGTACAGTCTACTGGTACAAAGATTTGCTGTTTGTTTTGACATGCAGTACTTGTTGGCACAGAGTACAAAAGATCAACTGACAGTGAACAGCTGCCTTAGCTGGTATGCTGTCCTGATGGTAAATATAGTAAAACTGCTTGTTATTTATATATTTTCAACAAATTCAGGTGCCCTACACTTCTGATCAGTATTAAAAAAGAAAAAAAAAAAAAAAAAAGCAGCACAGGAAGGCACTTTACAACACTCTTAATCTGGAAGCTAAATTAAGAAGTCTTTGCAGTCTGGGTTAAAGAGGACACTTGCAACAGGCAAGTGTAACTGCAGTTCAAAGGAAAGCAAAGGATGAGGATTGACATTTTCTTTCAAGTTAATGCCACTTGGCCAACATGACCACTATGGTCACCAGAAATTCCACTCAAGTGAAAGGTGAATTCTTGAAAAAGTAGTTCATTCCACTCAAATCAGAAAGAGCTAAAATGTAAGTATGAATACTGGGGGGGAAGGCATGCATCCTCTTGGGCTAATCAAGCCTTTGCTTCAAGAACAGTCTGACTTGGTAGTCATTGTCTTTTCTGTGCCAATGGTTTGGTAATACTGAGTTACGCCTGGGTAAAGTCCACTAAAGGTATTCAGGCATGTAGGAAGGTGACAAGCTATCAGGAGAGCAATCAGTTCCAGAGCAGCACAGCAGAGCAGCTGATCTCCAGCTTCCTGCACTCTAGGAACATGTTGTCCTTTCCTCTGTAACCTGAACTGGGGCCAAATCATCTGTCTTTCTGAGATCGATAGCACAGAGTGAACAAAACAGTTTACTGCTGCCTAAGTTACTCTTAGATTTAAAAACACTACCTCCAGGCCTGTTCCCTGAGGCTTCAGTTTGTTGTAGAATCCCTCCTTTGCTACTGGACCTAAACTTTCCCTGTTTTTATGACCTGCAGGATGAAATTTTTGATGGGGAACTTCCTCAAGGCAGTGCAAGCCCCTTTATAGTTTATTTTATGATGCAAACACTTAGTTTGGTTCCACACCTCACACTGTGAACAGTAACACTAGTTGCTGCTTCTCCCAATGTCTTTATAGGAACTGAGAAAATCAATGTTTTACAAGATTTGGGCTTTACAGAAGACATACTTCCATTTGCTTTATGTGGATGAAGCTGATGCCTGAATCCTAGCAGTGAGAAGAAGGGGAGCATGAAATCACTGAAAGAAGAAGCAAAATAAGAGCTCACACTGCAGCCTTCCCCTCAGATGATTTTTAGAGTTACATCTCTACTGTGCACTTGTTTTCACAAAACTTGAAGGAAGTTAATATCTGAAAACTCCACTTCTCTGTCAAGTGTAGTTGAAGTTGGACAGCAGGATCAAAAGCTATTTTGGGGAAAGGACAGACAGCTAGCAACCATACAAGCCTTACTTCCATAAGAAATCAGACTAGAAGTAGTAATATTGGTCCTTACTTGCTTCCACACTATGGAATTTGCCATTCTGTCTGGTCAAACGACTCTGCCTCTGAAAATTTTCAAGGTTCAGACTCCCATGCCGCTCCCTATTAAAGGGTCTCCCTGCATGAAGTCTCTAAGCACATTTGCTTTTGAGATGTTGTGTGAACCACATGACCCAAAAAGGATTTATTATTTTTAACCCAGGTCATGACTCCAATAACTTTCATATTCCCAGCTGACAAAAACACAGATCTCACAAACAGCAGGGACAGCTTGAGAGCTTTCAGAGGCTGCCATGCCAGCACCAGTGACCACCCAGTGACAGAGCACTCTTTGCACATTATTCATGTTTCAGCAACGCAGCAGCACTCTCTTCATTTCAGCAAGGAGAAGGTGATTTTTTAAAGAACATTTGCCATCTTTTTCAAAGCTTTATTTATAACCCAGGCACTGGATTCTTGCTAGACTGACTTTTACCAAGGACCATAGTTAATAAAGTATCTCCTTTAACTGACTTCAAACTAAAAATGGGCCGAGAGGGCATCAGATTGTGTTTGCTTTAAACAGGCTACCTCACCAAGGCAATGACTGCTTAGTTTTCTCCAGATTACTAAGAACTCATAGCATCTACATAATTTACACAATTTATGTAATTTCACACTAGCAGAGCATGTTGTGTTCCAAAGAACCACCCCCCCCAAAAAAAAAACCCCACCCCAAAACAGATTTATAGGCAGCCAAAGTCCAACTGCCACTGAATAAGAGGCCACTTTGTGGTTGATGGGTGGCAAGTTTACACAGAGGGAAGTGCCAAACGTGGGTATTAGGTTTGCAATGACCATATGCATGTTCATAGATTTTTCAATTCTCCACATAACCTGGGATCTGTGTCATTCTAATAATAATCTTCTGTGTGGCATATATCAGCTCTAAATTAATCTTCCCTTACTGAAATGGCAGAGCTCTTTCCAATAGGCACTTATGAAGGTCATCACAGGCAAAAAAGATTATGTGGGGAAGGAGAAATACATTACCAGTGTTTCCCTTTGACTCTAATTAATTCATAGGCAGGTATTTCCCTTCACTTCAGTAAGTCTGCAAGGTGAAAGCGCCATACTTGACTATCTCTTGGATACTGGATTTAACAAGGAATGTGGTATTGCAGGATAAGAAAGGAAAGCAAAGAATAAGAAACAGCAGAAGGATACAAAGATCAGTAGGATTTTGTCCAGAAACTGATACAATATAAGAGTGAGTCAGGAAAGCACTTGATATAAAACATCCCTTTGAACAACCCTCTCCTTCACTAACCCCTTCTACAGATGCACAACAAAAGCAGTATTTCCATGCCAAAACATGCATACAGTACCTCTTAATTCTCTAACATGCCAATCAGGAGCCAAGTGAAAAAAGGAAGACAAAGGAATAAAATTAGGATGAGCACAACAAAGAGGACTAACATACTCAGTAAGACGCACTCATTAATCAACATTTATTTTAAGAAAACCATTCAAGTATATTTAGCAAACATAGTATCTTTGTAAAAAAGATAAACATGGTAATTCTAATAGCAGAGGGGGAAGAAGCCATGGTTACAGGGTGAATCTGACATCATAAGTCATCACTAAAACACAAAGAATTGTTCAGTGACAGTCAGCTCCTACTCCCACAGATGTCAGTGACAGAAGCTGCTGACATCAGAAGTGTAGGATTCACGTATGTAAAATGAGAAAGGATGAAACAAAATTATTACAACTGAGATTAAAAATAACACCTTATCCTCTTCTAGTCTGTGCAAACAATTCAGGCTTTGTCTAGATGAGGAAATGGATGGAGCTAACTCTTCTGACTGCCTAGTATGTCAAAGATCTGAACTGGATGTTTTGGTCTCAGGCTTGTACTCCCATCTCAGAATCAGAGAAGACAACCTCGTGCCTTAGTTTCTCAGCTTTTGAAGCTCCTGAGACTGCCTTACAGCTCCTTAGTTCCTCTTCTTCTCTGGCAATATACTACCTTCATCAGTGGGACAGAAGGAAAGGAAGAGGAATCTGACCCTGACCTCTGCAGTCTGCTGTGTTCCTCTTCATACACACCACTAGAATTCATAACTTCCAAACAAAGCCAGCATTTCTCTACTCATGCTGCAGAGCACTCACACCAGGGCTGGGCAGCTGAAGGCTTTGGTACACCCCTCTTTTGCTTTTTCTCAGCTAGAAAGGTGAATCACTGAATGGAGGGTGATCAGAATAAGGTGTCTGAAAAAAGTTGGGGTCAGAAGTACTTGCCATGAAGCTCTGTTTTCCCTGTCTTAATTCTCCCCCTTGTAGGTCCCTTTGCACGGTATATTTTCTGGTGCTGTCCTAGACATGTTTCCCCCCTGACCACCACCCTGCAAACTGAACAGGCCAGCCAAGTAAGCACAAAGCAGACTGGATCCCTGGAAGGCTGGGCAGTATTATCAGCTTGGGTGTCTCTTTTCTAGATAAGCCTCCTGACTTACATAATTTTGAAACAAACTATGGGCTTTCACATCTAGGCAGCTACTTCTTCTGAAACATCTTTGCCTTCAGAATAAATCACTGAACAGTAGGTGTTTCTCTAAGCTTGGAAAATCACTACTCAGTTGTTGCAATGCATCTATGAGGAAAAAAAAACCTCTCAGCCCTTTGTCCATCCGAAGTATTTTTAACGTATCTACTTCCTACATATTTAGGCAATAAATCCAATTTCCTTCTTATTTCTAGAAGTGCCAATCAGATGTTTGAAGCATCCCTTTGGTGAAAGAGTACAGCCTAGTGGCAGGAAAATAAAAGACGGGCCTGTTCCACTGCTCTGCTTTCTTGTAAAGACAAAGCTGGACACAGAACTTGGCATCACACCAGCTACAACCGAGAGCTACTTTTGAACTGATTATGGAAACTGAATGTTCAACTAACTGATGTATTGACAGAAAATATTAGAAGGGAAATAGCACCGCAAATGCTCTTATTTTCTTTATTCTTTAGGGTAACAGTACTGCTCTGAGCCTAAGGATATTCAGAAAAAGAGAACCTGTAATGAGTAATTGCTTTTCTTAGACCCACTGACACAGCTGGAAAAAAAACAATCAAGTTTTCATGCTCAGAATCTCTTTCTCATCTGAAATATTTTATGAGACAGCAGATGAAAAGGCTCAGCTTAAAGCATGACTTCTGGGCATGTCAGCTACACAGGCTGGCCTAATAAAGAACATTACTTCTCCTGCTGAGGTCCTCCATTACAAGATGGAGAGAGGCCAGTGAAGGCTTCTGTGCCACTGGATCTGAGCCCTGTCTGAAAAAGGGAACCTGGGGAATAGGAGAGGGGAATTCACAGTTTCACTGACCTTTTTGTAGCTTGTGACTTAACCACCACACAGTCACTTGAGGAGGAGGAAGGGGATCACACTAAATAACTAAATGCTAAACGCTGCCACCCCAAACAACTACTTTTTTTATAAGAACACAAAAGCTTCCCAGGGACTGGGCTGAAGGAACAAACTCATATGCAACAGCCAGAGAGCCACCAGACAATGACAGTTATTCACTGTCACTCTGCTAATGAAGTTCTAATGAAAAGTCAACATTATCAGTTGAATGTTGTCACTGGGATGGAAACTGTTGTCTTATTTTGTTTTTAAAAATTATTATTACTAAACTTTCAGAAGCAAGATAATATAAAAATTCTATAGTAACTTGATATAGTTAAGTCTTATGTTGCTGATGCTCCAGGAAAGCAGCAGCACCAGCAACTGGTAAGTTACCTGTCAACCAGAGGAGTCTGAGATAAGAATGAGGATAGTCTTGACTCTTCAGGCTTAATACCTGCTGTGCATGTTTCATGTGGTTGCCAGTATGTAGGTCAGGCATAAATGACAGACACATAGGCTCTAAAAATGACACAGATCTCATTCCTCCTGCCTACCACCAAAGGGACTGAATGCCTGTATTTGCCAATTCTGAACTGTGAGCATTGGATGGAATAGCTATAAAAAAGTAAAGAAATAATGCCAGAGTCTGAGAATATGCATATATCCCATAATGCTCACCTTTAAAGTGTGACAACATGCTTGTAACAGTAATTTTCAGACTTAAACCAACCAAACAAAAAACCCCAAAATATCAACCAACCTAAAGCAAAGCCTCTGTAGTTAACTGGTAAGAGAAACAAAGCAGCACTCATGATCATCTCGCTAGTCTTGTCCCAAGCTCCTGCAACAAGCACCTATAACAAAGGACTAGTAACATCAGTGCTCAGTACCTGCATCTTCCTCTTGACAGTCTCAAAGGGGAAAGAAAGTGTCTGTGCCACAGCAGCAGCCACACAGCCATTTATGAAGTTCTGAAGAGGAGTAAAATGAACTATGGGTTTTTGCCAGATTTTGTCCAGATTGATGTAAACAAAGAATGACCCTGCAGAAAATGGGACAGCACCTAGAAAGCAAACCAGATAGAGGATTCTTTGAGCACATGTAAACTAAAAAGCAATGCTCATCACATAACCTAGAAAGATGGAATGAGCTCCTGCCAGTTTACACCTTGTATTGCTCAAACCAGATCATTATTTTGAAGAATTTTGCTTTTTAGTCCCTGGTTTACGAACACACCCCCATATTGTAGCATTAAGATGTGGTGATAGGGGCATATATGTACATATTAAAATGTGCATGTTGTCAGAATTAACTGCTTTAGTCTCATGACAGGTCAGCTGTTCCTCCAGGACCTCTTTTGTGACAAGCTCTTTCCTCAGTCCAACACCACCCCAGCAGTAGTACAGGTAAACAGAGCTGCCTCTTCAGTCAAGCTGATGAGAGATATTTCTGTCCTCTTTGCTTGTTTTATGCTCTCGTCAATTTTATAGTGGGATTGTAAATTATTATTATTATGCGTTTTTATAATGTCAGATTGTGAAAAAATTGACTCAAAGTTAAATGACATTTTTAAAAGCTATGGAGAGTAAGTACATAATTAAAAAGTAATTTCATATAAATATAGAATATCACTAATCTTAATTTTTCACATCAGTGAGATATTACTGCTCACAGTTTTCACTGAACAGTCAGGCAGACACCCTCACACATGGATAGGAATTAGGAACACTGTGTGTATATGTACATATATTTTAAAAGAGTTAAATGGTGGAAATCTTGCATCCAAGCACAACTAGATCATCTATAAAAGGAAGAGAGTATTTAGTTGAACACTTAACCATACATAAAATCCTACCCACTTGGTTGTACTTTGAAGCAATAAAGCAGCAGCAGAGGTTATCAGTATTGTCGTGCCTTGTAAATCTACATACCCTCTACAGAACAACTTACTATTTGCTTTTGAAATCAAATGGCCAAATGCACTACATAGCTGCAATAAACGATGTGCAACGAGGTGATTTCCCCCCATGATTATTTTACCTAATATGGCTGGTGAAACGCCACGATAGAGTGCAAGGAGTCCTTCTTGATGATAAATTTTGTAAAAAGCATGAAGAATTCCTTTGTAAGATGGTTCCAGTCGGTTCTGCACAATGAGCCGTGTTTTAATTACATCCGTGGGGTAAGTCACAACAGTTGCAACCATGCCAGCCAGACTTCCTGCCATGATGGCTCTCCAGTGGGAAATATGACCCAACTCATCCGTGAAAAGTATAACAAGTCTAAAGTAAATGCATAAAAGAAGTACTATTAATGACAATATGAACAAAACACATGGAAAACGAAGGCAGATTATTCCCAGTGTAACTGTTCTTCTGCCCACAAGCCTCTTCAGCAGCAGCAGTTGAAATTCTGACATGTATTTCAAGGCCTTACTTATGTACACCTCACAAGCAGCAGAAAGCTCTGTTCAACAGAACATGTGAATGGGCAAACATAAACAGAGTAAAAAAATATACTAAGGACCTCAAAGAGGTTTTAGGTAAATCCACTTTGCATGGAAGTGCAGAAACAACTAAGGCAGGGACCAGGACATATAACTCTGCAAACAGAATTTGCTTTTAGTGTTACTGAGCTTAAACACTAATTGTTCAAATTATATACTTTTTTGCCTGGGACTTTGAATGTCATTTTTGACTGCAGAATCTTCATTTGTATTTCTACTTGAAGGATGAAAGATACAACTTAAAATGTATCTGCAAGTAATTCTCTGATCACCACTCATCAGCCAGAGACATTGGTCAGACCTCCCCAGTCAAAGTTATCATGCAAGAACAAGCACACAGATAACATAATCATAGGCCTTCTGAGAACAACTGAACTCTCCTCTGTTACTTCTGCTGGGATAGAAAGGTGCACAGAAATACTTGTCTTCTGTCCAGGCTCTATTATGCTTAGGAGATTAAGTCTAAAATTTTAAATTTTGAGGTTGAACTAGAGAATTTTCAAGGCTAACCTACAATTCATGCACTTGTGTTGCAGAGGAGGACTTCATTTGCACAGGTTCTCTTACATCAGGGAGAAGTGGAAGGAGCAAGAAAACAAGTAAAAAGACTTGAAAGGAGAATCTTAACTGAAAGCAACAGAACTTCCTATTTTACTTTGGAAGGTTTAGGTAAACTGCCTAAACAACTGGGCTACATTTAAACTACATGTCCAGAAGAAAATTTTCAAATTTTTACAAGTCACTGCTTGCTCAGTTGGTGTTTTCTCAAATGAGTGTTCATGTTGTGCTGTATGACAGATCCCTGCATCTACTTGTTTCATGCCCTGGAGAGAGCCCAGAGCAGAAAGACCAGCCAAGCAGAAGTGAAACAGCATGAACTTTTTTCCCTGTCTTGTACAGCCCCTATAGCAACAGAGCCTGATTTTCCTGTGTGTGCACAACTGCCTGGGGAGGGTGGTGGGGTGTCTGTAGGCACTCCCCAGGAAACATTTAAAACTGCCAAGGAAAGACAGAGTCTGAGCACAGCGACCACAGACTCAGTGCAGTCAGCTGAAACCCCCATTCCCCAGCCAGCTCCCACAGTGCTGGGGGGGCCACTGACTCCCCAGCCCAGGTCCTGCTGCAATTATACTTAAGTTACCATGTAACATTTATCTTGCCTTTATACACATACTTTTTTTCCCATAGAAAATATTTTTTTAAATCCTCAAATAATGTATCCAGAAGTACGTGTAGGAAGCTTTTATTTACTATCCTGCTACTGTACTTCCCCTTGCAATTCAGAAGAACAGCCTGTGCAAACTAGAGACAAACCACAGCCTTGCAAAGGGAATACACTGTTCCCAGCCAAGCAAACAATGAAGTTGTTTTGCTCAAAACCTACTGGTTTATTCTGCTGCAACACACTGACTCTTCTTGGAACTTTTCAATTACATTTAAATAATTGCTTCTGCCTTCCCACTGCCACTACCTCTCCCCTTTTCTGACCACTGGCTGCATTACAAGCAGAAGGACACAACAAAGCTGGCCAGTCCCAGGGTCACTCCATCTATCAGTTCCTGAAGGGCAGAGGCAGAGCTGGGAGGATGACTCTTGCTCAGCCAGATGATGAATGATGCAAACCCAGCCCAGCAGTCTGTGCAGCGTCAGACCAGGCTGCAGCAAGCTGGATTGGCCAGCAAGGCTGAGCCCACACCTCTCCCCACCCAGCACAGCCCACGAACTGGAATAACCCATTGCCCAGCTGGGCGGAAATGTCAAGTGCCTATCAGGCACACAGCTGATCTGAAGGGGAAAAAAAAGAAGGGAAAAAAAGGCAGAAACCCAACCCTCGAAGTGGCAAAACACGCCGGTGGGTGCCAGCAGCCAGGCTCTCCTTCCACAGGCACCGGCAGCAAAGGGAACCCTGGGGAAGAGCGCGGGTTGGCACAGCTCGGTGCTGCTCCGTGTTGATCCTGCTACAGCACTTCCAGTGTTTACCTGGATTTAATAGCTGTATTATCGAAAACAAGATCTTAAAACAAATAATATCACCCATTGACTTTAGAACCGATCAAATTTGCATAACTGCTGCAAGATCTGAAGCTTGATTTTGTGATTTTCTTTTTTTGCAGCCAACAGAAATACTTGAAAACACACAAATGACTAACATTGGTCGCAAAACAAATAGCTGCCACAGCCGCATGTGCAGCTAGCACCGTAACTTCACTTCTAAAGGAGCCTCTCTGAGCAGAAGAGACTGAACACAGCCCTTCATCGTTAGAAAACACCCACGGCTTTACCGGCAGCGCCTGGCACAGCACCGAGCTGCTACACGCCCTGTGAACTAAACAGCCGCAGTTAATGAGTTTGCTGCACAGGGGGGTCAGTTCTCTCCCGAGGGCTCGGTGTCTCCGGGAGGGGGGACACAGACCCCCCGCACCGAGCGCTCCCCACCCCTGGCACCCGCCCCGTCCCTTACC